TAATAGTGTATCGTTAAAGTATGAAGTACCAACTCTATGGTTTAGGGTTTTAGTAATATAATAGTGTATCGTTAAAGTATGAAGTACCAACTCTATGGTTTAGGGTTTTAGTAATATAATAGTATGAAGTACTAACTCTATGGTTTATGGTTTTAGTAATATAATAGTGAATCGTTAAAGTATGAAGTACCAACTCTATGGTTTAGGGTTTTAGTAATATAATAGTATGAAGTACTAACTCTATGGTTTAGGGTTTTAGTAATATAATAGTGAATCGTTAAAGTATGAAGTACTAACTCTATGGTTTAGGGTTTTATGAGTGTTTTGAATACTTCTGAAGCACTAAATTAATCGAATTTTTTGTAACTATAAACAGGATTTAAGTGTGTTTTAACGCAAAGCCACATTTGGCTATTTACTCTGTCCACCGTAGAAAAATGAACCTCGGATTTTAGCGCTGACCCGCTGGAGGGTTAGTAGTTAAGAGTTTTTGATTCACGAGATAACAGTAACAATTCTGTAACTCACCACCAGGCGATCAACATCGGTAGCCACCCACACGTGGATACAGCTTCTAAATACTGCCAATCCCTGATTATCCAAGCTAGTCCTGGAAGAATGATTAATCCTGTAATCCAACCGAAGGAAAATGAAACCGCTACCCAAAGTCGATACCCTGGACTAATCGTTTCCATTACTACAGAAATAAACCAGAAAAATCCGAAATTACAGAGCGATATAAATATATTTTACGTCATCATACAAGTTAACGGGGACTACATTCAAACAGTTATTGTTTGAAATAACGTTGGCTTTTAACAATGCAACCTGTATATTATCTTAAAACAACGACAACCATAAAAAACGAAAAGTACATAAGATACGTTTTTTTTTTTTCGATTAAAACTATTATGATTAAAATAACAACACTAAATAGACTTTGAAGTCACTAAATTCGGGGAAGAATTATGATCTAAGACAAAGGACCCACGTTTTGACAGTAATTATTCAGACTTCATTTCTGATTTCCTTAGCGCTAGAAGGTGGTAGAAATATTTTTTCACACGAAAGGAAATCAGTTTAAAATGTTATAAATATTGCTTACTATAAAAACAAACAACTTTAGTCTGTATGGATGAAAATGGTCAATCTTTCTATAGCTACTTACAAAGACAAACACCTGCATTCTGTATACCGGCTACCCCCATCGCTGAACTAAACCGGGTAACATAAAAAAATGACAAGTTCGGAACAGCTGCGCCTGCGTAGTTCGAAACAATAATCAAACACAGAGAACCCAGTAACACTGGACGTCGTCCAAACCTGGATAACAAATAGAGTAAATTAGCAAAGAAGTTCATAACACCACAAATTATTAAAGCAGATATTATGTGGAAGTTTAGATCGAGGGGTGGGTGACAAAAACTGGATTAATATGTTTGCGAATGGATCTTCTAATAATTTCGGAGCAAATTTTATAGAGATTATTGTTTTATTAATGCAGTGGGTTATACGCACTCTAGTTACCACGAGGACTCGAACCCGGATTTTAGAATTTTAAGTCCATAAAATTACAGCTGACCCACTGGAGGTTGTTTTATAGAGAGGCTGAGTTTATTATCTTAAAACAATTCTCGAGGTCCACCACATCATTATAGTCTATGTCGCCATGTCCGGTTATGTTCTATCTAACAAACGTACATCTAGACAATAGTCCTACAGCGTAGTTTTCGTTACAAAAGGCTCTTTCCTAAAGATGTTACGCCCAACGCGTACTACTACTCCCTGCCTACTTTTCATAATCCACCTAGGGTACGAGGATAAGAGTTTCCACATTCCGATCGCACGGATAGTCAGCAACTTGTGTGTTTGCGTATGGAATAGCGGGAATATCCGTTTCATTTCCATCTAGTTGAGATATGCGACAGTTGAACGGAAGATATGAAAAAAAAATCTTATCTTGATGAAACCATAACCTTTTAAACTCGTTTCCAGGAGGAGATACTTCTTAATTATATTTCATACAGTTGCCTGGTGTTCAAATTATTCCCGGTCTCTTATGGATGGTCCAGAAACCCAAAGTTGATCCATAGTCAATTGTTTTCAACACCATCAGATATGAAGGATGTTCCCGTCTTGGGCATTCTCGATATGAACACATCTTTATGATTTGAGTTCATGAATATTTTGGGTCGGAAAAAGCGGTTACATAATCTTCGTAAAAGCGATAAATTTACGAGTCATCAAATTACCTGAAACCCAAACAATGTCAAAATGTAATTTGATACGTGGCATTCCACCGAGACTTCATTTCGGTTGTCATGATATTTTCTGAGTTACATACTGAAAATAGTCTTATTTAATACAAAACGTACTCGACCCTCTGTATGTTTTGATACTTCATTTGGAAGAAGACAGTTTGT